GCCCCCCCAGTGCCCAAGCCTGTTCAGCCATCACAGAGCTGGTCCTCCCCTCCTTGGCATCACAGCTTGAACTTCTCTCTGCTTTGCTTTTAAAGTGGTTGAAGGGGTTGGGGAGCGTTGAGGTGCCACTCGCTCCCTTTCCCCGGAAGCTGGGCTGAACGCCGGAGCTTGCCGGCAGTCACCAACGCTTCTCTCTCCTTGCTTGGGTGGCTCCAGGAGGTCGTCTCCCACTGCAAGAAGCTGACCAAGAAGAACAAGGAGCAGCTCTCAGAGATGATGTCTGTAGACAAGCAGAAGGGGCTCAAGTCGCTCAGCAAGGAGAAGCGGCAGAAGCTGGAGGCCTACCAGCATCTCTTCTACCTGCTGCAGGTGGGGCTGGTGGGGCTCTGCTGTGTCCCCCCCCAGCTGGGGGAGCAGTGGAGGGGCCCTGGCCCCCTGCCACTCCAGGACACTTGAGGTTAGCTTGATGTTCCTTGTCCCTGTAGACACAGCCTGTGTACTTGGCCAGGCTGATCTTCCAGATGCCCCAGAACAAGTCTACTAAGTTCATGGAGTCGGTGATCTTTACGCTTTACAACTATGCATCCAACCCACGGGAGGCTTACCTGCTGCTCCAGCTCTTCAAAGCGGCGCTGCAGGAGGAGATCAGGTGAGTGGCCGTGGATGTCCTGGTTTGGGGACAGGTCTGGGAAAAGGCTGGAGCAGAGGCATCAGCTTGGACATGGTTATCTCCCCTGACTGCTGCCTCCTGTTCTCCTGTTTGGAGAACACACACACTGGTCCATCCCCTTCATCCCATCCATCCTGTCTCTCTCTCCAGGTCCAAGGTGGACCATGTCCATGACATCCTGACGGGGAACGCCACGGTGATCCGGCTGGTGGTCAGCTTCTACCGCAACGCACGTGGGCAGAACGCCCTGCGGCAGATCCTGGGTGGCCCGGTACAGGAGGTTCTGCAGGACAAGACCCTCAGCATCCGCACCAACCCTGTGGATATCTACAAGGCGTGGATCAACCAGACCGAGTCGCAGAGTGGGCAGAAAAGGTCAGGCCTTGGGCAAGGAGGCTTAGCCCAACCACAGGGTGATGGAAGCTGGGGTGGTGATGGTGACCTTGTCTTCCATCCACAGCAAACTCCCGTACGAGGTCAGTCCTGAGCAGGCTCTCAGCCACCCCGAGGTCCAGAGGCGGCTGGATATTTCTATCCGCAACCTCCTCACGATGACGGACAAGTTCGTCTCTGCCATCACCTCTTCTGTAGACAAGATCCCGTACGTATCTTGATGGTTTGTGTGCACTTCCCTGCAGCGCTGTTGGCCTGAAGGTAGCTTCAGCAAGGCCTTAGACAGGGAGGTTGGGTGATGGGGGCCTTCCCAGTCCCTTAGCTGCTGCAGGACTGAGTTACTGCGCTGTCAACGAGGGGAAATCCAAATATCAGCAGGTGCTGCTGCTTCTCCACCAGCAATGCCCTGGCAGGCCGGCCTTTGCCACTCCGTTTGTGAGCACTTTACTGTGGGTGTTGAGGTGTCTCCAAGGAAAAAGCTGTGAGCTTTGTGGTAATCTTGGAGGATGAAGGCTTCCTCCAGGGATGTCTGGGCCAGCAGCAGGGTCAGGGAAGGGAGCTGAGGGGTGCTGCAGCTGCTAGCCTCGCTGATGGGCTCCTCCATCGCCCCAAGGCTGGGGGCTTGCCGTGTCTTGGGTGATGGGTAGTAGGGATGGGGCAAGGTGGCTGAGCATGGTGCTGCCCCACATGCTGATGGACCTCTCCCCGCCCTCTCCTCAGCTATGGGATGCGCTACGTTGCCAAAATCCTGAGGATGTCCTTGGCTGAGAAATTCCCCAAGGCCTCAGCAGAGGAGATCGACAAGGTATCCCGGGACTGGGGGGGGGGGTCTGTGCTGCTTGGTGGGGTTCAACCACGTGTGCACGTGAAGGGCCAGTATACCGTCACAGAAGGTCAAGTCCTCTTGAGTTCAGCGTTGACTTGAAGGTGTTTTTCCCTTGAGCTATTAAGGAAATGCCAACAGTGGGCTCCTCTCTGTGCTGCTGTCCCCTCTGGGAGGGTCCCACCGGGCAGTGCAAGGACGAAACAGCCTTCCCTGCTGAGCTACCAGCCCATGTGCTCCCCAACACCCAGCCTGTCTTGCGCCCTAGATTGTGGGGCACCTGCTCTACTACCGCTTCATGAACCCGGCAGTGGTGGCCCCCGACGGCTTCGACATCGTGGACATCTCGGCCGGGGTGACCCTGCATCCTGACCACCGCCGCAGCCTGGGCTCCGTCGCCAAAGTGCTGCAGCATGCGGCTGCCCACAAGGCCTTTGACGGGGAGAACGCACATCTCTGCGGGGTGAACCAGTACCTGGAGGACACCCACAACAAGTTCAGGTGGGCACCAGGATGGCATTAGGGTGGGAGGGTGGCTGTGGGCCGGTGGCAGGGTTTTTGGGGCTGACCGAAGAGGTGCCTCTCCACAGGAGGTTCATCTCTGCTGCCTGCTGTGTCCCTGAGCCAGAAGAGAGGTTTAACATGGACGAGTACTCGGAGATGGTGGCGGTGGCCAAACCAGTCATCTACATCACAGTGGGGGAGCTCATCAACACGCACAAGGTAAGGGCATAAAGCTCATCTGCAAACAAGCAGGCTCCACTTCTTCTGCTCCCACCTCCTGGTCTTTCTGCTGCATTTCATCGTGCTCCTCTGTATCCTACCACCAGCACAGCTCCTCCTGGCCTTTTCTTTCCCTTGTTAAGAAAGCAAATAATCCAGATTCTGCAGGTTCTCCACTGCTTGTCCTTCCCTGAACCTCGTAACTTTGCAGTCCCCTCTTGGGTGCAAAGATCATTGCGTCGTTCCCAACTGGCCTTCGGTCCCCGTTTGCCCCTTTACGGCTGACTGTCCTTCCTTGCACCATCCAGCTCCTGCTCGAGCACCAGGACTCCATCGCGCCGCATCACGGAGATCCCCTGCACGAGCTTCTGGAAGATCTTGACGAGCTTCCTACGGTCCAATCCCTCGTTGGTAGGTAGAATTCTGGGGCCCACCACCCATCCCAGCTGGAAGAGGGTGGAGATGGGGATGCTTTTCTTGCATGAAGCTCTAGCTGGATTGCTCTGGGCATGGGGAAGCCAGCCCTTCTGAGCCCCACGTGGCTACTTGGGCTCTCTCTGCCCTCACAGGGGAGAACGTTGCCGGCCCGGCAGACGGCAGTGCCGAGCAGGTGCTCTCCCAGCTCAGCAAAATGGAGATCTCCCTCACCCTCACCGGCAAGCTGGTGCCGGTGGCCAGCAGCGAGGAGAGCGACACGAGGAGCTTGTTGCTGAGGTGAGGATGGGCTCTGCGGGCTTCAGGGGAGCTTGGCTGGGGTTGGGATGGTTAAGGGGGGCAAGAAACCCCTGGGAGACAACTAAATGGCATGCTGCTCTGGTGGAGGAGGAGGGTGATGGTCTTTGAGCAGACACCTGATGTGTCCCTCTGGTCTCTAGCACCAAGCAGATGCTGGTGGACGTGATCCAGTCCCAGCCAGGAGATTCCCTCCCGGAGATCCTGTGGACACCGGCCTCTGAGCACGAGGTGGGATGAGTGAGGCTGCTGCTGGGGATGGGCTAAAAAACTTCTTGGGGAAACAGCAAACAAGGCCTCAGCAAAAAGCTGCCCTGCTCCTCTCGAAGGCTTGGCCACTGTTCTTATGCTCCAGAAACGGCTGGGCTCTGTTTTTCAGAGAAAGCGTGTGTTTTGGGCCAGGAGAGATTCATATCAAAGCGTGTGTGTGGGTGTTCCATCTCCTCGTGTCCCGTGCCAGCCGTGCACCAGGCTCATCCCCTTCTCGTCCCCAGGAAGCCTCCCACGACCACCTCATGCGCCGGCGAGCGCTGCAGGACGCCCAGACCCCTGCCAAGCTGAAACGCAACCGCTCCCTGGCTGCGAACAGCCAGCTGTCCATGGAGGAGAAGAAGCGCAAGATCATCCGCAACCTGCGGCGCTTGGAGAGCCTGGGGCTCGTGGACTCTGCCCGTCAGTACCAGGAGCTCATCGACGAGCTGGCCAAGGTGTGCTGGAGTCTTGGGGAGACCTGAGTCAGCAGGTCACCTCTCTAAACCCATCTGAGATACCTCTCTGGTGCTTCGTTAAAGCTCAGAACGAGTTATATCGGCTTTCTCGTATGGTTTTGTGTCCTGCAGGACATCTGCAACCAGAGGCGTTACCGACAGCACCGCAAAGGGGAGCTCCTGAAGCTGAGACAGACCCTGCAGGGCCTCAACGCCAAGACCTTGTTTTACGAGGAGCAAATTGATTATTACAACCAGTACATCAAGACCTGCCTCGACAACCTGGCAGCCAGCAACAAGTACGTTTCCTTACAAAAACCCCGTAAGCTTTTTTTTTAAAAAAAAAAAAAAAAATTTTTTTTCATTGCTGTCTGGATGTGGTGAGCACTGGAGATGTTGGGGAGGGTCTTGAGGGGTCATGTGTGGTCTCTTCTCTTCAAGGGTGAGCGGGAAGAACAAGAAGCTGCAGTCGCTGCGCTACACGGCGGCGCGGCTGTTGGAGAAGGGGGTGCTGCTGGAGATCGAGGACTTGCCGCCCAGCCAGTACGTAGCCCCTGGTCCCTGGGATGAGCTGTTGCAGGTCAAAGCTTGGGCAGGTAGAGGAAAATAACCCGGGAGGAGGGTGCGCGTGGGCCCGCCGAGAT